CATCGTAACACTTCCATCACACCGATATGATCAGTACCGTATGATAAAACTTCTGCATGTAGGGGAAACTGAAATCAAATGCCATTTCCAAGAGCTGGGCACTTCCACACATGCATAATCTTTGAAAGTGACAAAAGACTCTTTTTTTCTTAATTAATTTTAAAAAGAAGCAACTCTGTCGTGCAGTAAACAGGACACATTTTAGGAGACCAAAAAATGACATTTATTCTCAATTTTTACACCTCTGCTCTATCAGATTTCTCCTGACACCTTCAAAAGCATCCCTGAACCCTTCTCGAACTTTCTCTTCTCTGAGAAACAGAATCTTCTTTTCATCTGGGAGCTAACTGAAAGATCTGAGATACAGCCTTTCCTTTAAAGCAGTCATTTTTACTTCCAGGGCCATTAATCATTTTTTCAGGACCACAGTTAGTGGCCAAGACCACACAAAAACAAGTAGGGTTCACCAGAGACCACTTCCTCTTGAGCCTCTATCACATTAAGCCTTTTTTAAACCACCACTTTTTACCTTGTACTTCACAGCACAGAACTGCACAGCTCCAAAGAATTTATGCAGAAGGGCAAAAGCTCGGGGAAAGGAGTTAAATTTAGGCTTCCCACGTGCGGTATGGCTAAGTAAGCCTCCGCTCTGCAGCTCTGTTTTTTAGGTTCCTAAGTTTGACAAAAGAGACGTATTCATCTGAGGGATGTCTGATGCTAACCGCTGCGTTGACTGCAACTACAGCAGTGCTTTCTCTCCTCTGCAAGGAGCTATGAAAGACAGATGAGTTGTAGAGGGGATGTAAGCACGTATGTATTTTCTAGAGGTATATGTGCATATTGGGTAAAAACACTCGGGGCAACTAACTCTTTTCAAAAACATGGTCAAAACAGATTTTAAATCCCTTCTGGGGAAAAAGGCTGAGATACAAAGAAATCCTTTCCAGATGAACAAAAGGATGACAAAAAGAGAGAGATTTTACTACTTTGAACTTTATTACCCTACTATTAGGAAAATAATTCCTTTTTTTCCTGCAAGGAAACTGCACACATGTAAGTGCCTGCCTATTAAAAGAAAGTACAACTATTAACTTCTGTTATAATACTAGGTGACTTCAGGCTGTATTTTCTTAGCTCATTAACAGAAAATGACTTCAGATGGTTGAAGGAAGAGAGCACTTCATTTCATACATTGATGAGTCAATATATAGCATACACCCTTACGTGCTGAATATTTTATGATTAAATATGAATACACAAATAAATACAAATGTATCAAGTGCTATAATTTGTGGGAAACAATCATTCCTACAATGTATTAACAATTGCAGTGAATTCAGAGCTGCGTGAGACCTAACTGGCCAGAATCTGTTGCCATTATGAAGGCTGGGTAGTCCAAATAGGTTATTCAAAAACAGTATTGCAAAGAGTAAACAGTCCCACAGGAGGTGACCTGTGCTGTGATGAGCAGATAAGTCTAAAACTCAGCTCTTTGCATTAATTAATTCTGGGAGCATCAACATTTAAGTTGCTTTCTCAATGATCATGTAAAGAAGTAATTTTATATTAGCATGAAGACAAAAATATCTCCTGCATTTAAACTTGCCAAACAATCTGCATTAGTAGTATAGAGAAACCTGGGCAATTCTTTTAACAGTGAGATTGTGATTTTTTTGGTTTCCATCTTAATTAGCGAGGATTTAGCCCTAGGATATTGAAAGGAATCACTCACCCAGCTGCCACTGACTTTGGCTGGGATATGCCTAACAAATCTTTTCCAGAGATCCCGGTGCACATTTGTGACTTGCCTCAGCGTTTATTCAAATTGCAAGGAACATTTTCAAAAGCAATGCGTGTCTAGGTATGTATGTGATCACCTGTGTATGTGAAAATGTGTTCCTTAATTTTTTACTCCAAACAGTTTTTACACCTATTGGCACATAACGAATCACTATATCCCCCACAGGGTAAGGATGAATAAGCAAACAAATATTTTTAAATGATACACAGAACGTAACAGATGGCAGAAGGGTTGAACTGTAACATTTGATACCAAAGACTGTGTTTGTTTTCATTTTCCTTCACAGAAATATAAACACTTGGAAGTACTTTGCCAAAATACCTGCATCGTTTGGCAGAGAGAGAAGGAAAGAAATTCTGGGCTGGCTTGGAGGGGATACCTGATCACTTTTTCTGTTTGCTAATGAGATGTCGTAGCCCTCTAATCCAGAAAATAGACTTTCTGCAACAGAGCGTGCTTGGCTAACTATAATCAATAAGTGAGCTGTCTAGAGCAGTGCCTTTTTTCCTCAAATCAAGAATCCCCTCCCCAAGACTCCCATATTACATCCCACAATTTAAAATCCACTGCATTTTATTGCAGCCTGTTGTGTTTAATGAAAAACTTCTCATGAGCCAGGAAGTAGCTGTTTATAGCTGTGTGTTGTGGAAATCACAGTGAAGGATTAGAAACTGGAGTAAAATTGGTTACAGCTGTATGAAAGAGTAAATGCAAAGACAGAGCCAAAAACCCCACACCCTGACTTCTCTTTTCCTCTCATCCTTCTGGCCTGTTCCTTTTCCATGCACCTGCTTGCATCTGCTGCTACGAAATCTGGAGAACTGATTTTTGATTTGTTGCTCTGTGCTCTTTTTTCAGCTGAACCAACTGAGCTGTGAGTCAGACTTTACGATATTATAGAATAAACCTGTTTTGGATTGCAGCCATTGGACACGAGAAACTAGACACAACGGGGAATGTTCTCCCTGGAAAGAAACCAAGAAGTCTGGAAAAAGCAAGAGCTGTCCTAATTTGAGTGCAATCTTCATACCAAACCTCAAGTCTTTTACAGATTCAGTGGTCTGCTTAATTATTCCCATTCTTGCTTGATGTAAAGACCATCTCCTGCCCTGGAAGATTTGCTGGCATTCACCAAAAACGTGCAGGAGTCTCAGAAGCCTGAGTAGACTTCCACTACAATAATTCTCAAGTCATCATTGTCTTCTGTACAGAGATAATGATACTTCTATGTCTGTGCTATGGAGAGGGTGGAAAGAAAGCCAAAGGTATAATGCCTCATGCAGAGAGCGGTATTAGTCTCCAAGAGGAAAGCAGTCACCTAAATCATTCCTCAGACTCTCACTAATTTCAAAGAAACCTGCTCACTCATCTTTCAGCCAGAAGCCAAAAGCTGCGCCAAAGCATCAGGCAGTCCATGCAGGGTTGGGAAGCAAGTAAGAGGGGGGAAAAAAAACGTGGCCAAAGGTAGTTTGGGAATGTGCATGCTAACAGACTGGAAAAATAAACAAGTCAAAATTTAAACAATCTATCATTTTATCAAAATTTCTGGTAAGAATAAAAAATTAGGCCAGACTGATCCATTACAATATTGGCATTTAGCACACAGCTGAAGTTTGGAAATGGCAAATATATCATAAGTCCACATTCAATTCAAGGGATTAAATGTTTTATGGATCTAAGAAAACTTTCTCATTCCTTCCATCTACGAACCATCTGTGGCAGATCTGTATTTACGGGGAGAGAGATGAGGAGGAGTAACATGCCACAGTGTCACCGACATTCCTTCCTCAGCAGAGAAGGAATTAGAGAGAAAGAAATTAATTTCAACATCTGCTAAATGAACTATCAGCTGAATGTGTTTTTAAAGCGGCTAAGCCATACGTTTCAGATCTATGTACAACACATGTCTGAAAGCTGTTTCTGCATCACAGAAAATCCAGCTAAGAACAGTAACAGCAGTGGGATCTACATAGTTCCTGTATTTATAGATCTATTGTATGCTTAATGGGGGTTTAAATTGTTCCAATTGTAATGTTTCTACTTGGCTGAGATGATCTAGAATGACCATCAGGAAATTCTGAGTTAATAGCTTGGACAAGTTGATAGCCTGGACAAGGGAAATGAAGAGATACTACCATGAGAGACATCTGGCTTTCCCAGATTATGAGCAAACAATAATACATAGAATACATAATAATTTATGCCAGCAGAAGAAAAGTAAAATACTCAAGCTACTGACTGTTTTTTATGTCACCATAAAACATATAGGCATACATATAAAACATAGAGGTGATTTATTTATTTTAAAGAGGAGTGATGTTCCAGGGCATCTTTTACCAGCTTTTTAATTGGAAAAGAACGCAATTTCTTTGATACCAATTGTTCTGCCTACATGAGAAGAAAGATGGATTATGCAGTGAGGAAAAACAAATGTTCTAGCTAATAAGTTTTAAAGCAACTTCAAAATCCAAGTGACACTAAGTATAAGAGACCTTACTTTGTTGCTAAGTCTAATGTTAAAATAGTCATGTCACCAGTCTTTGGGGATCTATTTCATAACACTGGTCCTAAGGAGCAAGGAATTCCTAGTAGTAGAGATATTTCCTGTGCCAGCTTCCTTCCCAAATTTTGGATAGTTCAAGTCTCCAAACTAAGAATTTAAAATATGCCTGTTCACCAGCTTAAAAAAAAACCCAAAAACTCCTGTCGAGTGTTTAAATGTAAACTTGATCCAGCTGATAAACTGATTCTTTAGATTCAAGTACACATGTAGCCTGTTTTCAGTAGAATCAATCTGATATTCTAACCTTTTACATAATTCCTAGGGTGATTAGGAAAATATTACCAAGTGAAGAACTGTCAAATATGCAGATATGAATCATCGTGCTGTGACCTTTACCTAGCAAAAAATATTTCAGACTTCAACACCTAGTTTGGCACTCAAGTTTGAGCATGCTAATTAAAAATGCCGGTATTCCCTGGTCAAAATGATATCCCCAAACTGGTAGATGTGAGACTTATGTACTTATGGCAGGTACACACTCTTGGGCTCACCTCCTCATTTCAGGTCATGGAATATCATAGGCCAAGCTGGAAACACATTCAGTAATTTCCACTGTTGTCATACAAACAATATAAATCATCTAAATCTAAGTCAAAATTAATACCAATATAATAGGAAGCTGAATATGAGCTGTACCTTTGTGACAGGCAGTTCCTTGGATTTAGACTCAAAGAGATGCTCCAGTTTGGAAGTGTCCACCTTAATGGGTTCCAGTTTCGACCACAGGAATTCTCTGCAGCGTTTGTTGTTTTTACACTGCCACTCAAACGGCCGTACCTCATTCCAAAACAGACGGATGGTTTTCTTCTTCTTTATGAATGCTGGCTGACCCCTAGAAACCTGGGGTGACCCTAAACCCTGAGGAGTGCTGAACAGTGGAGGAGGAGCCAATAAATTAGCAGAGGGTGGAGGTGGAGGTGGACATCCAAACAGTGGGGGAGGTGGCGGAGGAGGCAAACCCAGAAAAGAAGGTGGAGGAGGAGGAGGGGGAACAAGGGAGTCCCCAGGACCCATATCCATGTCCAACACATCTACATCATCCTCCTCCCCCAAGTCTGTAAAATCCATGTCTTTGATTTTAAGTTCTCTAGGATTAGCCATCAGCTGATCCCAGATGTAGTCAGATTCCTTCTTTGGCTGTGCTGGTGTTTTCTCAGGGACCTGTTCGTCTTCAGACAAGGCTGTCCCCTTGGCCAGCTCACCACTGTTGAATTTTTCTGCAAAGGCTTTCACACTGCCTTGGTTGTCCAGGTTTCCAATCTCCATCTTTTTGACACTTTCATCTTTGGCCTGCTTAGTGGCCTGAAGGATGGAGATCCTACTGGCTAGACTAGTGAGTGACTCCTCGCTTTCCTCCGTCTCCTTCTTTTCCTCTTTCGCCTCCAGCTCCTTCTCCTCTTCATCCTTGGGCTTTTTGTTATGCGCATACAACATGTCCAGCATAAACCGCTTGTTGTTGAGAATGTTGCTGCACTGCTCATTCACACCAGCATCCTGAATGGGCTGTGACCACGGACCTGTAATCACACACACACAGATGGGAACAGTCAAGGGGAGAGAGCCAGCGCATCGAGAATGCTTCCCACCTCATGCAAAAACTTTCTGGGAATACATGTACTATTAGCCTGACACTGGGCAAGCCATAGTTTTGAGTTCTGAAATAAATGACTTTGCTGATATCCAGCCCAACCTTGACGGGCTAGGAGTACTTCTTAAAGAAGGTATGGGAGCTGAAAGTAATTAGCATAGGTTAGGAGGCACTAATTAACTGTCAGGATTTCAAGGCTGAGATTTCTTCTGAAATCTGCCAGATTTCACTTTGTATTTATAATCTCAGCTCATTTCAGAGGATGCTTAAATGCTTAATGACGCTTTACTGATCCAAAATGGGGATTATATATCATAACAATGGCCATAAAATAGGCTTCGGGGTACTCTTGGCATGGCCAGAAACTGGAACTACCCCAGAAAAATTTCCTTAGGAAAAAGAATTTCCCTGCCTGATTTCAAGGTGCTTATGGAACTGTTTCCTCCTCCTTCACTCACCCTCTGGCTGTTCTTCAAATCTCCCAGCTGGCCATCTTCACAAGACTGGCCACTTGAATCACAGAGCAGACTGCATACCCAGGGCAAAACTCTCAGGACAACTCTCAGGGATTAGAAGGATAAGTCGGCTTAGAACTACAAGCACCTAACTAAAAGAAATCTATCAATTTTTGAAAATGCTGCTCATCAACCACTGTCACCTTCCCTGGCATAAATGATGGAACTGAAAACTAATGGCCTTCTTCCCACATCACGATTATTTAACACGTCACTGTAATGAAGCTTCAGTTTTTCTGACTATTACTCTTTCCAAATATAAAGAATACTGTTTGTGAGACAGCACCATAAATAACAAACTAACTGCAAAAATAAATTATACAACATTTCTTACACTACATTTCCCTGAATATAATACTATTAAAGGATGCAGAAAACATGTCAAAAACCCAGAGTGCTTCTTTTTCCAATGGGCATCAAAGTGATTAAGCATGGACTAAGATAATTCTTTACACTTACTGCATCTCCTGCATTTGATTCCTTCTGCTCCCCATAGTCTTTCCATATTTCATTAATATAGTTTTTCTAAACTCTGTTTCTTAAATATATTTTATTGTGACCATCAGGCTTTCTTCCTTTTGTCCCCTTGTAGTTACTGATTTTCTTTTATGCCTGTCAGTTGCCTTTTCTTTTGCATTTTTATGTTATTTTTGTTTCTCCCCTTATGCTCCTAGCTTTTTCAAGACTTCATAGTTTCAATATCTTTAGCAGATTTCTTTATCAATTAAATTACTCTCTTGCCCTGATACTAAGCCCTGGTGCTCTGACAAGATATTTCTTGGTTGAGTTCCACAGACAGATCCCCCCACCACCATCCGCCCTGAATTTAAAATAAGAGCATGCTAAAAGGTAAGTAAGGTCTCACAGCACACAGTCTATGGACCGAAGTGAGCCTTCCAGTGCTGATTTCTAATATTGTCATCTAGACTGCCATTCCTATTCAGATCAACCTCTTAATCACATTTTAAAATGAATCCAGAGATTTTACTACAGATAAAAGATGTGTTTCTGAAACGGTTTCCTTCTACTTTCCTGCACAAGGCTTGATTGCTTTAATTACCTATTTATTTTTCCTTAATCTTTTTCCACAGGATTGCTCTCTCACCAAAATTTGTCACCTAGCTGTCTCTGAGGTAGTTTCACGAGACAACACAATCTCCTTCCCCACACTATGGCTTTCACCAGCTGAATACCCACAGAGGATTGCCCCCTCCTTGCAGCCTCTCCTTCAGAGATGTCCCAGATTGCTCCCCAGTTCCCTTCTGTAAAACCTACATGACAAAACCTCTCTGTTTTCACCAGCTAGGATCCTCCAGGATTTAATCCCTTTCCAAAACTTCTCATCAAAATTCTCCCAGACATCATCTCTAGTTTGGGCTCCCAAGTCTGCCTCCAGCTGCCTCCCAGCCAATCCATGATGACTGCTGTGAAGCCTCTTGCTGTCTCAGCGCCCTCTTCCCATCCCCTCTCCACAGATAAAGCTGCAAAATGCCATCAAAGAAGAAAAAATTGCAGGAAGCAGA